TGTGTGTGTGTGTGTGTGTATGTACATACATATCCATATATGTATGCATATAGCAAAGTTTTTTTTTGATCATTGAGTCAAAAAGGGCGCGCTATGTATGTATGTCGAATCAATACACACCTACACGTATGCGTAAGCATCTCTTAACATGTACATATAAATATGCTAGTAGCGTACGAGGCCGGTGCTATAGCACACTCACACATACACCCAAACGTAAGAATGGTCACACACGCATACATACACACCAGGATCCCACACTACTCTGTATATACTGCACCTTTCTAGACTACAGGTCAATATGCACGACGTTCATGTACAGCGACGTATAGTACAGATCCAACTCAGTACATGGACACCCGAACTAAAAAATAGTCACACGCAACTCACATATACACATACATGAAGCTCCCGTATCGAGCTGTAATATACACACAACATCTACCTACTCAAACTCAGGCACAGCTGTCTGTACCTGACAATCTTGGGTAAGTACACACCTACACATGTCTACACACTACACACGACGGTAAAGCACGGCCACACATAGTACCGAACCTTTCCAGGTCTGTACACCACACTGCGCACTACACTGTCTCACAGTGATGCTGGGTACGCCCTTGTTCGCCTGGGGTGGGTGTCCATGTATCGGTACCTCCTTTGGCCTACACAGCCGCCCTCGACCCAGGACACTGAGCTCGGAGGTGGTGGAGTTCTATACAGGGGATGCAAGTACTAGAGTTTAGCCATACATGTCGTGTATACCGTATGATGTATATATTGATACTGTATTGTTATTGTTTTGCAACCGTCCTTGCTTTGACCTACACAGCCGCCCTCGACCCAGGATATGGAGCTCGGAGGTGCTGGAGTTCTACATAGGGGATGCAAGCACTAGATATTTATAGATCTTGTGATTACATTATGATTGTGATATCGTTATTGTTTTCCTATTGTTACGCAACGGTCCATCTTTTGACCTGCACAGTCTCCCTCGATATTTTAAGTACAAGGTCAGGAGCAATCTTGTAAACCCTAGAAACCCTAGAAGCCCAAACCAATTTAAGATAACTGACAACATACAGTGCCGACTTCCAACAATATCCGGTACACTTTCTGCACACAAAAACTACCCTGGAAACCTTCGAATCATAAACGTCTAAAACATCACAAAAGACTGACTACTCACATTAGGTACATGTGCCTGCTCAGCACCATTTCATGACAAATTGAATCTCAACCGCCTCAAACCGTTAGACCTTCAATACCCAAAACATTATAAGACGAACTGGTGACCTAAAATATAGACCTCAGAACTTAAAACCATTCACAAAGGCTGATAGCTCACAAAGCAAACCTCCGACAATGCCTATTTCACTTCCGCCCCAGAACCTACCCTAAAAATACAAAACACAACTCTCAAGCCTCTAAGATACCCACCCCAATTTACGAAGCACGATTATGTAAATAGTAAACTCTCAATACTGAAGCTACGACACACCATAAACCCCAAACCTTAAACCCTAAACCCAAGAACGATGAGCCCAACCTACACGTACCGGGGTTTCCACATCGTATTGGCGTTGCTCAGTATAAAGCGTGTCCACGCCTCCTGTTTCCGTCACGCCAGCACACGAACATCCCGTTGTGTGCGACGCACCCTCATCATCTCGGCTTGGCTTGCACATTCTGCACCCCGTGGTAACTCCGTGTGCGTGTGTATGTTCCCGTGCATGAGTGTGTTGTGTGGGTGGGTGGATGTGCGTGGGTGGGTGTGCGTGTACATGTACAAGCACATGGCCTTTGTCACTGCCGTAGCCATACGGATCCGTGTACGACCCAGCCGACCCTTCTCCCAACCCATCCGCGTCGGCGAATCTAGGTGTGGCTGGTTCATATCCGTGTGCGTGGGCGTGGGCGTGGGCGTGGGCGTGGGCGTGGGCGTGGGCGTGGGCGTGTGTGTGTGCGTATGTATTCGTATGCAATTGTGTGTGCATGGGACCAGAGTTGCACGGCGAGTATGTGCGTGCCCGCCTCATCGCGTATCTGGTGGAGTGGTGCATGGCGCTATCGCCTCCGGTATACTTTGTCATGACCATCATGCCGTCGTTTGAGAGCCGAGTCGTATTGCGAGAGTGGTCTGTGGTGGTAAGCAAAGGACGGTGTGTTCGGAGTGATGGTGCAACGGATAGGATGTATATGAAGACCTGTATCTCATATATAAAGATCAATACCTCATAATAACTTACACGTATATACCTCTATAAGGATATCCACGAATAAATACCATATATGTAAATACCCTTAGCATACTGAAAGCAACGCAAGCTAAAGCATATGCACCCCTATATATGACGTAGGTATATATATCTACTTGGCAAAATTTATATATGTCCAGCATTTGATATGCACGCATCAATAAATACTTGCACAAATATATATAAACCATAAGATTTCAAATAAACATCATATCAAACAGTGACACGTATATACCTTAATAGTCCCTTAGAACATAAAAATACAGACCACAAGACATAATGAATGTACATACATAAATCCGTTCGTTATGAACAATCTGTTATTCTATCGGTGGTTTGTGGGCTGTTTACGCACATCCACATCATGAAACAATAACATATGAATAGCTCAATAGAGCCTTAGACCTCTAACATATACACTCATATGTATAATGCCCGTTTATATGTACCTTCTCGTTGTAGTCTACTTATCATCGGTGTTGATATTCTTCCGTCGGCGTGTACATCCACCTCATAAAATAATATCATATATAGATATATATACATATAAATATATATATATATATATATATAAAGCTTTGAAACACCAACATAGACCTCTATGTAAAATATGTAATCCCACATACCATCGGTGTTCGTATTCTTTCGTCGTCGTGCGCGCTGCTTGCGGTGTTTCCTATCACCCTCATCGTAGTCAAACTCCATCCACGCCGAATGGTATCGCACTACATTTCTGTGGGCGTCTAAGCGAGCATGCCCCTTGACCTCTCGCAAGGCTTTAAGCACCTGCACATCGTGAATTGAAATATTGAAATGATATACAATCAAATATAATATTATGTATTACAATATACTACATGAAATTGTCTAAAGTTTTGAGCACCTACACACCGCGACTTAATACATAAATATAATAACATACAATGTAATATAGTACAAGATCTGTTTTATAGAATTGTTCACCTCAGACCGTCAAATAAAATTTAGACCATTAATATGATTGAAGACACGAAGTTGATTCAGGCTTTGATCACATAAACAACGTGAATTAAAATACTA